TTGAAAACCTTGTGCATTGTGTTGCAGTTGCTGCTGCATCTGCTGCATCTGTTGCAGATGTTTCTGCTGTTGGTATTGCTGTTGCATTTGCTGCAGCCGTTGCTGCTGTTGCAACTGATGCTGCTGTTGTTGTTGTTGCTGCTGCTTCTGCAACTGATGCATTTGCTGCAGCTGTTGCATCTGGTGCTGACGATGCAGATGCTGCTGTTGCAACTGCAAGAGTTGCTGTTGTGATTTCGGTTTCTCGTTATAATTCATATTTAAAGGCGCACTGTTGCCTTGGAAGACTTGTTGGAAACCAGGTGCCTGTGGTTGCTTGGTAGGTCCGAATGCCAACTGGAAGGGTTGCAGAGTGGAGTCGGACACATCGTGATGCATTCCCTGAGGCTGATACTGGAGGTCTGCAGGTCCGTGACTTTGTTGGAGCGCCTGAAATTGAGCATGATGCATGGCAGCCATCGTGTGACGGTCCCAATCTGCCCCGGGAACGTGAACGGTGTCCATGTAGGACTGTGATGAACTTGGTGAATGCTTCTCCAACTTTACAGCCTCCATTTCATGACTTTTGTGAAAGCCTCTTGGGTCAGCTATACCATCTAGAGAAGGGCCAAAGTTCTGTGACCACTTGTTCAGGTTCGGGACGCCCTGAAACCAAGCCGCGGTCTGCATTGTGTTTTGAGGCATCCACTTTACTGTTCCCGATTGCTGAAGATGGCCCCGGACCTGATATGCTTTATCAGATTTGTAAACACCCTGGACTTCAGGGCTAGAATCCATCAAAACCTCTGGGCTGCTGTGAGTTTGCTCCAAGGACGGAGTGTCCACATTGTAGAAGAGATCCCCTGAATGCTGCATTGTTTCCCCAATGGTTTCAACATTCTGCTTGCTAATACTGTTTATGGTTCCTCTCTGATGTGGAGAAAGACTCATGGCAATTGTGTGAAACTATAAGACAAGCAAAAACCTGGAGCATTCAGCACTTCAGTTTTAAGTAAGCCTATTACTAGGCCGGATGTAAAAAAAATAATGTTTTACAGAGCAGAGCACATGCACAATTTTGTGAGGTCTAGACACGCCACCTCCTTTCTTGCTTCTAAACTGCAGTATAAAGGTGGTGTAAATATTTAAAAACTCAGTCATTCCTCAGTCACAGGAAATGTTCTAAAAAGGAGAGAAAGACAAAAAGTAAAGTTTTGAAGTCAGTCACAATAGAAGTATAATTATGTCTGCATTATACACAAAATAAACAAAAAAACAAAAAAGTTAAAGAAAAATCGATCAGTGACATGACACTCATTTTATTTTGTCTCAATATAATTAATTAATTCAAAAATACATTAAAAATGCTACTGATACATACAGTAACTTGCACGCACATCTTCTATGATGTACAGAGCCCCTCAAGGGACAAAGTATGAGATTTAAGGAAAAATTATATTTCATGGTTTTGCACATTACAAAATATTTGCGCACCCCCAAGAAACATTTCGAGCGAACACAAAGTTTAGGGGTACAAAACTGCAAATGCAGAAGCATTGAAATATAATTTTTAAATCTCACTTTTTTCATCATTATGTCCCCTTAGGGGCTCCATAAAGATGATTTTAGCTTTTGAATTAAAATTAATTTTAATCATTTTGGGGGGGCATAAAGTTCAAAATGTCGGGGTAAAACAACTGACCTGATATTAGAATGCAAAGAATCATTAAAAGCATGAAATCATTTAAAAGAAAAACTTATTTAGTAGTTTCACATAATCCTTTATTATTTTTTCAATTTTTCATAAACAAAACTTATATAAAAACAACATCCCAAAACTTTTTGGAAAAAAAAAGAAAAAAGAAAAAACATTAAACTAAACAAGTCATTAAATTAAACTTTTCTTAAAAATAATACAAAAAGAGTACATATATAAACACTTGGCACATTTTAAACAATTTTTTTCTTTATCATAAATGCTCTTGTTTGTAAAATGTCAATGCTCACATTTCTACAGCAGCAGAACAGTTCAAATGAATTATAAATAGAATGAGTTGTCAAGAAATCTTCAGATCGCCAATAACAAAACAGGCCATATCATGTCAAAACTGACTCACAGAATGACATGACACTAAATGCAAAAAATTCCTTTTGCATACTATTAATGAATGGCTGTTTGGTAAGACCTGTGAGTAGAAAAGGAACATAGTGGCCTAAAACCAGGAAACTTAACAAACACAAACGCAGAAGGCTAGAGCAGACAGCAATGGAGGGGCATGAAAGTGCAATGCAAGACAACAAGAATTACAGGAAGTGAAGAGCGAACGGGAGAGAGAGATGGGGAGAGAATACAGGAGAGAGCGAACAAGCAGAACTACTTTTCAACACATTGATGACCCCTCCCAAACTAGCAACTACAATGAAACATTTGTTATAACAAAATATATGTATAATAAATGCTGCCCAGCAAAACAAACCACCCTGTAAGAAGACAAAGTATCAGTTTGGTGCACTTTGCTCCTTTACGTTTCTTGGTTTATTGAACGAAATGTCGTGTATGAAACAGATTAAGACTGTAGCGTACTTACACTGTTGCAATATGGTATTGACGTGCTCCTTCCTTACTTTTCAAGTTCGGGTGACAGCACCTTACAAAACAGTTCCAACCCTGGGCAAAGTCAACAGCGTGCATGACCATTTACACACTACGAACAATGCAGTCTGTCGTAATCGCCTAGACGTAAGTGCGCACATTTGAAACGCTAAAATACCATGTCATAATGCATCGAGAGGCCTTTCCGACATGTAGGCTGACAGATTCAACAACTTTTGCTATCCGAACGCATTTGAACTCTTCAGTTGTAGTCACCAAACATGTTACCCTGTTTACATTCTGCTGTTTAAGCGCAATTTTACCGATACTGTTTGCAGGACGTGTAGAGTTCGAGGATCCTCTTGAAAAATAATCAATCCATCAAAGTTATTTATCAACAAAACAGTTCGCACTGACGCAGCCAATCAGCGCGTTTCGGACTGAAGGCGAGGCGATACAAGGCGCAAAAGCGCACGCTGTGATTGGATGGAAGAAACTTCTCGCGCACTGCTGGAATGTGCAATATTTTATTAGTGAGACCAACTGAAACAGGAGACCTTTATATTTCCATATCACTTTCACTTTTTATTATTTCAAGATATGTTACAGGATGTGTTGACAGTGTCATTACATTCGTGTTAAAAATGCATGTTGACCTGGTTCTCTATCGGGCTCCTTACCAAAAATCTGCAACAAACCCCAAGCAATGAGAAAGAAACTTCAGCGTCTGTGCCTGACGTTTGCGATACACTGACATGTCGCAAGACATTTTAACATTAAATCCTTAAAACTAAATAGTTTGTATTTTCTTAACCAGTCAAGTATAATTAAATACTAGTCACTACTTGAATAAGTACAACCATCTAATAAAAAAAGATCTGGTATCTAACGAATAAGTTATGGAATAGTTATTAAGTTGGCTTGAGAAAGCCAACTTACTGAAATGCTATTTAAGCTTTTGTACGGTGAAACTAATGGTGTATTTAAGCTGCCTATTGTAGCAAACAACATAAAACATGCTAGCAACATGCTAATTGTGCTACAAACATGTTAATCATGCTAAAACACGCTGACAACATGTTAAACATGGTAGCAACAGGTTAATCAGGTTAAACATGCTAGCAACATGTTAATCATGTTAAATACATGTTAGCAACATGCTAACAATGTGCTAATCATGCTAGAAACATGCTAGAAACATGCTGACAACATGATAATCATGTTAAAAACATGCAAATCATGTTAGAATCAAGCTAGCAATATGTTTACATCATGCTAATTATGTATCAACATGTTAAATAATGCTAGCAACATGTTATCTAATGTTAACTTAACTTCTATCTAATATATCTATCTAAACTTTCAAACTTTAAGCTTTTACACAAGCTTTTACTTTCAGACAAGGCTTTTTCAAGCCAACTTCAAAGTTTGTTTGCAAACTTTACTCATCTAGTTATTAACTAAAATAAGTGTTAATAGCATACAAATAGATAGTATGATTTAAATATTAAATCATTGAAAGATTTTAAAGATTTTTTTAAAGGGGTCATATGATGTTGCTAAAAATAACATTATTTTGTGTATTTGGTGTAATGAAATGTGTTTATGCGGTTTAAGGTTAAAAAAAGTACAGCGTCTTCACAACATGGCGGTGGCAGCAACAATAAAGTTATCTTCTTTCTTTGCGTGAACATTTGGGTGGCATTATGCAAATCTTCCCACATCGTGACTTAGACATGTGGGGGCGTGTTTAAACGAGGCGTTTTAGGAGGGCATGGACCAGTCTTACCTTTTATAAAGAATATCTCTTTGGGTTTGAGACTTTAGTCTTTGCAACTTTAGGGATCTTATCTATTCACGAACAGCTTGTAACACTCCAAAGAGAAAGGAAAACTTGAAATCGTATCATATGACCCCTTTAAAGAAAACAAGGTCCGGACTTGCTTATGTCAATCAGAGCGAAAAATAAACTGGACGCCACCTACTGGCGTGCTAAAGGGTCAGCAAATGAATCTGAACTAATCTTTTTGGTCAACGGATTCAAAGGAACCGAGTCACTGAAGTGATTCAAACGCCGCACAAACATTTGGAACGAAGGAATCTTTTATAAGAATTCACCGTATAATACTGTATCCTGAATTAAATAAAGGTTTTTAGCTATTTATCTAATACTGTAAACATCCGTTTTTTGTTGTTATTTGTTGTACCAACAAGTCAGGAAAGAAACACATCGTAGTCGAACGATCACATTAGTTGTCAAATTAATTTTGCTCAAATTACTGTGTTGTTCTAATCGCATATTGATTGCTCGGCTGCTCATATATGATTCATATATCATATTAAGACAGAAGATCTGGGCATTTCTACATTTAAAATCTGCGGAAGTAAGGCGTCAGCTGGTGTGTCACATGATCGCCATCATGTGATTTGTATACAGGGAAACGACCTGTTTAGACAGTTGTACTCATCATCAGCAAGAAAGACAAATCTCAAGAGAGCCTGAGTGTCTGATGTTCATGGTCACTCAGTCCCACACTCACCATGGCTTGGACAAAATACCAGCTCTTTCTCGCCGGTCTGATGCTCACCACAGGCTCTATTAACACACTCTCCGCAAAGTAAGTAGCACGCACGCGCTAGATGGTGTTTGTTTACATGTGATTTCTGCTTACTTATATTAACTGAACTAATTGCCTCTATTAATAGGACAGACAAGGATGCTTTCACATTTTCTTTTACAAAACTGTACTCCGTGTCCTTATTATTTTGTGAAGATGTGTCATTTTATTGTGTAATATCTCATGGTTTTTTGTTAATGTAAGCAAAAAAAATAGATGAAAGAAAGACTGTTTTTCAGTAACAACGTATGCACTTTACATATACAGACGAAATATTTTAGGACAAGATGATTAGACGACTCACGTGAAATAGTGAAGATCCGACGTGTCGTGACATGTTGATGCTGCAAAATCAGCAATTCTGCCACCAAAACCCTTGTGACTATTAGTCAGTAGTGCAATCGCAGCATTCAACTTGCTGGTCCATTTAGCCAAGAAGATGTCAGCTGTTAAGTAACTTGTAAATTGATACAGCTTTGTATCTAAAACAAGCTTGATGTTTCTAGGCAGATGGTATTTGATACCACACTTCACTCAGTATCTGCTGAAAAACTGACACTGATGCATCTCTGTTTTAACACTTAACTATATTTGTACACTCGTTTCTTACAGTACCACAATGACTCTTCTTTATAACCAAATCTTTCTAAAATCAATCGTCAAATTGTTAAATCTAAAGGAGCTGTTAAAATCTATTTGTTAAAGTCTTGCATTGTCATTTCATGGTTGTAAAAATGACATTACTGTACCATGTGCATAGTTACTTATTAAACCTATAGTGACTTAAGTGGAGTAGTTTAAAGGGGGTGTGACCAAAAAACTTTGAGAACCACTGGTTTGGACAAACGGATTTGCGTGCTTCCCAAACTAAATCTATCTTTGAGCCAATGTTTGCTATGACTGCGTTATTTACTGTTATACTGCATATTAATGCACATTAAGTTGGATGAATTTTAATATCACATTTACACATTTAATGACCTTTAATAAATCTGTTTGTCTTCTAGATGGGCTGATATGTTCTCTGCACCTGGATGTAATGGTACCCCAGTTCATGCCTTCTCCCACCCTTTTGTACAGGTAATGATATTTATCTATCCTCGAGAAAACAACACACTATTCACATCAAACTTCGCTCTCAGCATTTTTTTTTTCAGTACCTCTCAAGAAACGGAGAACTGAAAGAGTTATTTATGTTTTGGCAAAGTGAGAACTGGTTTTGACTCTATGTCCTTCTCTTCATATCACTTTTCCCTGTCTCTGTCGCTTTTCCTGCATGCATCTTAATAATAAATTACTCCTTTCTTCACCGCACATCTCCTCGTCTCACCCTTCCAGGCTGTGGGAATGTTTTTGGGAGAGCTGTCCTGTCTGGTGGTGTTCCACATTCTCCTTTGTCATGATCGGTGCAAACCTGAGCCCACGATGGATCCGGGCCAAAGTTTCAACCCCCTACTTTTCCTCCCCCCTGCCCTTTGTGACATGTTGGGAACATCCATCATGTATATTGGTGAGTATCCAACGTGTGTGTGGAGTATATTGTGTCAATAGTCTTTAGTCCTTAAAAGGTAGGTTCACCAATTTACAACCAGCTTTGTATCGTTACAGTGTCAGCAGTATAAGTGAATGAACTGTGTATTATCTTCTTTAAAACTATATATATCTATTCTTTTTATTCTTGGATTTACTTAAACAGGTTCTGTGCTTGTGTATTCATTCCTCTTTGTTTATATCTCTAGCACTGAACATGACCAGCGCCTCTAGTTTCCAGATGCTGCGAGGAGCTGTGATCATCTTTACTGGACTGTTGTCTGTAGCGTTCTTAGGACGGCGACTGCAGCCCAGCCAGTGGATTGGGATCCTAGTCACCATCCTTGGTCTGGTGGTGGTTGGCCTGGCTGACTTTCTGAGTGGCCATGGGAATGACTCCCATAAGCTCAGTGAGGTTATCACAGGTCAGTAGTTACCTGCTGCTGAATGTTTTGAATCATACGTAATGACTATTTGTCTTTTACAAATCAGAAAATCTTCTCGTAGGCTGGATATCAGGATTTTTTCTTTATTTGATTGTATCTTGCATCTCTATCTGATTGGACTGTTGCACTGATTATCTTTTGATCTTGTTTTATAGGGGACCTTTTGATCATCATGGCGCAGATTATTGTTGCAGTCCAGATGGTCCTGGAGGAGAAGTTTGTTTACAAGCACAATGTGCATCCACTGAAGGCTGTTGGGACTGAAGGTAAAATTTTGAATATATTGCCATTATTATTATATTAAGTCTGTAAACAGGATGTTAACAGAGGCCAGAGACGCTGAAGATGGACACAAAGAGGAGAAAATACTGTAGCAGGCAGAGCAGCTCATTGTTCACGATGTGCGGAATAGAGTCCGAAGTCAGAAAGAGCTTTATTGGCAAGTGTGTTTGCACATACAATGAATTTGTTTTGGTAACAGAAGCTTCCAGTACACAGAGACAACAACAACACACAGATAATAAAAAAATAAAGATATATGAATAAAATACACCTATGTATATACTGTACATAAATGGGGCAGTCGTAGCCTAATGGTTAGGAAGAAAATAATAAATATTGAATTGGGGGTTTATATGAACGTGTTTCTGAGGGGAACTGACTGTCTTTAGAAACGTTTACATGGCGTTTTCTTTTCATCATGCCTCTGTATAATGCGTATTAAAGTAGTGTTTATAAGGGCAGAGCTGCTGTGTTTACAGCGGTAACCAAGGAAATGCTGTATTGCTGCTGTTCCATAAGCGCCACCTACTGTCAGAGAGTGAATTTGCGTCTAATTCAGCTCATCTGCTGTTTTTGTTTTGTGCAGATGTTTTATGTAGCATAATTTCACAAAGCTAAAGTCAGACCATTCTGTTTTTGCTTCAAATTCTGAAATTATACAGTCTAATTTAAATCAAATGTGTAGAATCTCTTTTTGGATCAATTCGTGATTAAAATTCAGTGGTTGTATCTAATTTCAAATGGCTATGAAAAATCAAGAATGGTAAAACTGAGTAAAGAATATGCAATGTTATTTTACATGTGACTTTTCAATTTCTGTACCTGAACACCTGCAAACATAAAAACCTAAAGCATCATTTCATTTGAATCTTTGTTCTATATATTTAATTGTGCTATTGCTTGTAATTTGTTCATTTGTTATTATTTCCTGACTGTTCACTTGTCTTTAATATCTTTGGACTTTATATTTATTAGGCTAGTAGTGGTATCGAAATTGGAAATGAGAGTTGTAAAAAATTTAACTGATATCTAAAATTTTGGTGTTTTTTAGAATAAAATATATAACATAGGTCAAAAACAATGATAACAGCCACTATTTTATTTTTTTGTGGCAGGGCCAGTGAAAATGTAGGCAGGGCAAGTAAAAATTTGAACCACTGGCTCGACCGGGCCAGTGGAAAAAATCCTTAGCATTGAGCCCTGAAGTATATTAATGCTACTTATTAATAATGTTATCATAATGATTATAGACTTTTATGTTATGTCACATGCTACGGTTTAAAAGTTTTGGGCCAGTAAGATTTGTTTGAATGTTTTCGAAAGAAGTTTCCAATGCTCACTAAGGCTGTATTTATTTGATCAAAAATATAGTAAAAACAGTAATATCGTGAAATAATATTACAATTTAAAATAACTGTTTTATTTTTTTATATATTTTAAAATGTAATTTATTCTTGTGATAGTAAAGTTGAATTTCAGCAGCCGTTACAACAGTCTTCTGTATCGTGATCCTTCAGAAATCATTCTAATATTCTGATTTAGTACTCAAAAAAATATTTATTGTTATTATCATTGTTGAAAACAGTTGTGCTGGTTATTTATTTTTCAAAATTTGTTTGAATTGAAAGTTCAAAAGAAATGTATTTATGTAATGTATTTAGTCTTTATTGTTTGATTAATTGCTAGAAAAGGCTAACTGTTAAAAAGATTAAATCCGCAATAAATCAAAGGTAGTATAGATTAATGAAACAAACAATGCTGACTGGCCTACAACTAAATGTTGTCGTTACCATAGATGTTTGCTAGACCCTTTTTAGGAGATCTCCGTTTTTCATTTTAGCCCCCCTAAGTCTGTGATTAACTTATCTGTCAGTGCTGTTACAAATGAGTGATTATATTTTCTGACTTGACGCAGTGGCTTCTGAGGTTATTTCACTCTCAGTCCTCCCCATTCATTGTTACTGTCAAATCAGAAAAATGCGGCCAAATATGCCTTTGTTAATGATGAACACCTACTGACAAACAGGCAATTTTGTTTATATATATATATATATATATAAACGTATCAGTTTAGGAACACTTCTTTGATTGATCTGTTTCCCAGTGTCTTAGTTGTCTTCTCTCTCTCTCTTAGGTTTTTTCGGATTTGTCATCCTCTCTTTGCTCCTCATCCCAATGTTCTACATCCATGTGGGAAGTTTTGCAGACAACCCACGGCAGGTCCTTGAAGACGCGTTGGACGCCTTTTGTCAGATTGGTCATAAGCCTCTCATTTTACTGGCACTTCTGGGCAACACTGTGAGCATTGCCTTCTTTAACTTCGCTGGCATCAGCGTCACCAAGGAAATAAGTGCCACCACTCGCATGGTGCTGGACAGTCTGCGTACTGTGGTCATCTGGGTCATGAGTTTGGCGCTGGGTTGGGAGGTATTCCACGGCCTACAGATTTTAGGCTTCATCATCCTACTCCTTGGTACAGCGCTGTACAATGGACTGCACAAGCCCTTGATGGCCAAATTGCCCTGCTGCCCTGGAGAGCAGAGAGCAGAGGAGGAAGAAGCCCCAGAGAGAGAGAGGATGCTTGGTGAAGGAAAAGCTGCAAATGAGAGCTAATATTGGACTTTGAACAAAATGCTGTCCACAAAGCATTTTTGTTTTTAGTTTTAACTGTTATTTCCATTTTAAGAAAGAATAACGTTTTAGTATTGTTTTAGAGTTTGATTGGGATGCACGATATTATCGGACTGATACTGAAACGGATATGAAAAATGATGCTGATATGTCTTGCCGATAAGAGGAATGAATACCTTAACTCACATGTGCTCAGGGTGTGCTAGTGATTAGATCAAGTCAGCAGTGTGGCTCATTCTTGAAGAAAATTTTTGTCTGAATGATGATTAGATTGACTGTTTTGGATCGCTGCATTTAATCTGTGAAAGCACATACAGAAAAGCGTTTGGTGTGTGATAGAGTAAACAGTAATAGCACGTGCAGTGGCAGCAGCGGCAGCCTCCCCCAGGTCCTAAAGCCCGTTCTGTAAGGAGTTTTAATCTGTAGGGAGCGCTGTTGGCCTACTTCTAATTAAATTAAAAGTAAAATAGCCTACCAAAATAACATTTAGACTGTTTCTGAATAAATGAAGCAGTAATTGATGTCATCAAATAATGAGTATGTTTTGATTTAAAGGTCAGAAGCTATAGCTTACATGAAAAAAAATCAAACATGACACTTGAAAATTAATTTTATATATACTGATTTATTCTTTAATGTGTAATATGTTTTATTTTTTAAACAAATCATAAGCTCAAAGATTTTCAGATTTTTTTTACAGCTCTTTTGCTTTAGACCATCTACAAATGTTAAATCTTAAAATTGAGTCTAAAATGTTAGGGTTAACACTGCATCTTTCTGGGGGAAAAATGCAGCGATTGAGATATATAGTTTATTTAGGCTATAGTTAAAGCTTCAATGTACTGTCAAAACCTTTGTTGTTGTTTATTTAATTCTAACAAATAAGTTATTGTTAAAACTTAACCAAAATTAAAAATATTTTGCTTATAATTTCTGCATAGGAGAGACTTGGGGTTGTTTCCAAACAAAAGGAAATATATCGTTATCGGCCAAAATGAGTTGAAAAATATCGGCATATCGGATATCGGCAAAATCCAATATCGTGCATCCCTAGATTCAACACTTAGGAACCATCACTACTTATTGCCTAAAGCCGTTTCTGTGGGCATGTCTCAACTGTTAAAAAAAGGATAGTTGTGCTTGGATTTTAAAATTGTTTTGAATGCAAATTTTCACTTTAGGAAAGGGAACCATTTTTACATGATTCCAATGCCAAACAAATCTTAGAATAATATTTTAAGGTTTTTAATCCTGTGTTTTATAGGTTTCAAAATCTTTTTTTTTTTTTTGCTTACATGATGTGCTGTTGTTAGGATGACATTATTTCTCTAAACATTTTATCTGAGGAATATTTTTAGTGATCTGTGAACCGGGTATTGTGTACTGACAAGAAAATCTTCTGTTAGTCCATGTGTATTTGCTTTATAAAAATATGGAAATAGCACTCAGTAAGTTTAATGCCAGTAAATATTTTTTTTTCTTTATTTTTTACAGAGTAAGATACAAGGAACCCTAGTCTCAAAAACAGTGTAGTGTTTACTACAAGTATAAAACTGACATCTGTCTGCATAAATGTATAAATTCCTCTCATTCTTATAAGAAACATTTGTACATTGTGGATGCATTTGTTTGTGTTAAATGAAAACTGGAAAAGGACAGAACTGTTTCACTCAGTGACTATTAAATTATATTAGATTAATTACAAGTAATACCTATATCTCATATCTAATTATGTGTAACCACTATTGCTGGTTTCTGAGTGCATTTAGAACTAATATTGTTTTCCTAACTAAATGTTTGAATTATTTTTTATATTTTGAAATGAATGTTTGCCTAATTCCACAATGAAGATATGTGACCAAAATAAGGATAATGTGCTTTTTTAATTTAAATCTTAATTTACGTATACTTAAATGTTCAGCGTGTGAGCATAATATCCTAAAGCAAATTTTAACAAAATGGCCATCAATACGAATAATTATAAAAACGGTGACACTTTACAATAAGGATCCATTAGTTAACTAACATTAGTTAAATACAATTGTTCATTGCGTGTGAGCTCAGGTCCATTAAGGACTATGAAGTGATACAGCTTTTGTTTTTAATAATGTATTATTAAATGCTGAGTCCGTATTATGTTAACAAATGAAACCTTATTGATAACCATTCTGTTTTAAATATCATTTATCTATTAAAATATTCATGTGATTATTATTCCAAACGATGTTTAAAATCAAACCCATTCGACCAGATGTGACGTCACATATCGGTCCGCTCGCTCAGGCATCATCGCTGCTGCTGAGAGAAGTGAGGCAAATAACGGGAACTTCAGTCGTTTCAAAACGTTATGGGATTATTATGTCCAGAGCCGTTGTTTCTCATATCATCATGGTGTGTAGAACAAAAAAGATGTTTTGAAGTCTTCGGAAACATCTTGGACCATCGCTGCAGACAGAGGTAATAATGTACACGCCGGGTCCCTCAATGAACGCGTGCTGTCCGTTTAGCGAGCTAGTCCGCATTATTAGCGGGATTACAGCTGTCACAACATTGTGTTGCCAATGTGTAACCTGGCAACCGTATGTTCAATAATAGCTGTATGTTGCGGTGCCGATGTTCAATTTGGCTAATTAGCTAGCGCTGTGTCGCTTCATTGCGGTTTTTTTTTTGCCAACCTTTGGCTCTGGTTGATGCTTTAGCTAGCCTGTGTCCCATGTCTCCCCGTTATCACTGGGAGCGGAAAGGACAGAGAAAGCCTCAACCAACATCTACGAGACAGCGGCAGTTTTCAGCATAGCTTGTGGATGTTAGCATAAACTAAAAGGATTACAATTCAATAACACAGCCAGCTATTAAAGACATGTAACAGGCCAGCTGCAGCCATCCTTAAGATGATCCTCATTAAAAACAGTAACTTACTGCATGCAGCTAGTATGGACTGTCATCCATCTGTTCTGACTGGTGGAAAAAAAATGATAGTATTGCTAATACAGTACAGATTTAATGATTAAAGCTTGAGTAAAACCTTTTAATAGCCTTGGGTCCTTTTTAAGACAGACAATAATTTTATATATTTTAAACTATAATATTTCTGTGCTCCAATCAAATTCAAATTTATTCAAATGTAAAATATTCATGTCAGTTTTGTTTTGATTTATATATAGATAACATATATATAGATATAGAAACATACAGCAATAGCAATGATTGCATTTTTGTTTTATCGTTGACATAAAACAGAGCCCAGGTTCTCTGTCTTACAACTAAGCATGCGTATAAGCCAATATTTTGTAGTCTTTGTGATGTGGATTTACAGATTATGTTTCCCTGAGTCACTGTCTTGCAGATATAGTGAATTTTATTCTTGTTTCAGGCCTACAGTAAGCCTGTTCCTTAAGGATTTGACTGTATTTAGCTCCATCAGTTTTGCTCTGCACCCTAGCAGTCAGTCAGAAAAAAAAGAATCAGGACAGGTTCTTATACAGATCTTACCTAAAAGACAACCTTATGACAGGTCAGATTCATGTAGTTTGGGTGCCTTTACAGAAGGTCTTTTTACGAATGGATGGAGCCAATAAAATGCATCTTTCATTATTTTTGTCTTGTCTACAGCTACTGTAGGTAAAGAAATCTCCCTTATGTCTGCAAACTACTCTAGAGCCTTTAATTTCTACTGTAACTCTGCAGTTTCAACTAAATTAAGCCTTTTTAAAATCTACAAATCTGTTTCGTTTCAGTGAGGACCCGAGCTCACTGATGTGAGGTGTAGATCTTCTCCGAGTGTGCTCAGTCCACTCTTGAGCCTCAGGATGAGTGGGTCAGGGGAGCAGACTGATATCTTGGCTGTCGGGAGCATGGTCCGGGAGCGATGGAGAGTGGTGAGTTGTTTTGAACGAGCTGTATTTACGAGGACAAGGCTTCAGGACTATTCAAATACTCACTGTTAGTTTCGTAGAGATGTTCTGATAACTGTCAGATACTTTTATGTAAACTTTTACTTACTTTTTTTTTCCTTTTGAGCTCAGTCAAACGATACACTGCAGGTGTGTTGAGCAGTGCTAACATCAGCACAGAAAACTATACAGGATGCTGACTAATAGTAATGAGACACAGCATTAAATTTCATGACAAAAGTGTTGTTTTGCTAGGACATTTTTTTCAAGGCAGTATTTCATGCCTGAACAGAATCTGTTTTGTAACATCTGTTCTCTGACACAAGTTTGAAAGCTTTTTAGTCAATTATAGAAGGAAAAAATATATACAGTACATTACCTTTCAAAGGTTTGGGGTCAATATGTTTTTTCTTTTTTTGAAAAATTTATATTTTTATTCAGTAATGATATATCAAATTGATCAAAAGTGACATAAATGCTGTTCTTTTGAACTTTTTATTCATCAAAGAATCCTGAAAAATAAAATGCATCACATATTCCACAAAAATATAAAGCTGTTTTCATCATTGCTAATAATAAGAAATGTTCTTGAGCAACAAATCAGCATATCAAAATGATTTCTGAAGGATCATGTGACACAGAAGACTGGATTAATGACTGCTGAAAATTCAACTTAGACATCACAGGAATAAATTACATTTTAAAGTATATTAAAATAGAATTAAGTAGAATTCTAAGTAATTCTAAGAATTAAATAGAATTAAGAACAGTTAAGTGATAATATTTTACAATATTACTGTGAAACAAAAACATGAAGAAATCCTATCGACAAAAAATGTTTGCATAGTAATTTGTTTCAGGATTTCTTCGTCGTTCATTCAGAATTTATCTTTCTTATCTAGTTGAAGAAAATTGGCGGGGGTGGTTTTGGTGAGATTTATGAAGTCTTGGACCAGGTGACCCAAGTCAATGTGGCTCTGAAAGTGGAGTCTGCCCAGCAACCCAAACAGGTCCTGAAGATGGAAGTAGCAGTTTTGAAAAGACTTCAGGGTAAAATTAACACAGACATTTAAGATACTGATTTTTTTTTATTTTTTTAGTTAATGTATATAAAACAAGCATGAAAACACAATTTGATGAGTCATTTTGCACTGTGTGTGCTACTCTATTTTGGGCAGTCATACATGGCCAAACACAAGGGGAATATTAATTAAAAATACATATGGATTTGTTTGACATTAACCATTTTTACCTTGACCCATTTCGTAGGTAAAGACCATGTTTGTCGTTTTGTTGGCTGTGGGCGCAATGACCGCTTCAACTATGTGGTTATGGAGCTTCAGGTGGGGTATCAAATGATTTATTCTTGTTTCTTGATGGGACGTTATCACACACAACTCAAAGTAACACAACAACCCTGATCTCAGTCACCTGAAGTGATGTTTGTCCATTGAACTGCAGGGAAGGAACTTGGCAGACCTTCGACGCAACATGAGCCGTGGCACCTTCAGCTTCTCCACCACACTCAGGCTGGGCCGACAAATCTTAGAGGCCATCGAGAGCATCCACTCTGTGGGCTTCCTGCACAGAGACATCAAACCCGTAAGAGTGCTCTAAAGATTCTGCTCTCTCACAGACAGCCCTGGGCCTAAAAGCACTTTTAATGTTGACTAAAATTCATGTTTAACAGGGCCTCATTATTTCTTTTTAGACTATATAAACTAGTCATCTAACCTTTTTTTTCCTCAAATAGTCTAACTTCGCAATGGGTCGACTTGCCAGTACGTGCCGAACCTGTTATATGCTTGATTTTGGGTTGGCACGCCAATTTACAAACTCATGTCAAGAAGTCCGTCCAGTAAGTAATCACAGATGTCTTTAAAAGCTTATGTTTATGAAATTTCATATAAGTGTTATAAATGGACAGTTCACCCCAAAATGAAAATTCAGTCATCATTTACTCACAGTCCTGTCATTCCAAACTCAAACTCAAATTCCAATTGCTACGTCTCAAACTCTCATGAATGCACCAAAAAGGATAGTGGTGGATGTCAAGATGTTTAATTGAATACTGACTTAAATTTCAATGTCAGAATTTTGACTGAATTTTCATTTTTGTCTGAATTATCCCTGTAATGTGTTTCTGTATGTTTACTTATGTCTGCACATTCTCTTTTTTTGTCTAAAGCCACGTCCAGTGGCAGGATTCAGAGGAACCGTCCGTTATGCTTCAGTTAATGCTCACAAGAATAGGGTAACTCCTCTCTCTTACATTCTCAAGCTAATGGCGGATGCCAGTCAGGTGTCTTATACACAGCATGTCATGTTACTTGTTCATATTTCACTAAAATGTACATCCTTCTTTTTTTTTTTTTTAAAGGAAATGGGTCGACATGATGACCTGTGGTCTTTATTTTACATGCTTGTGGAGTTCATGGTGGGTCAGCTACCCTGGAGAAAAATCAAAGACAAAGTAAGTTCTGCTCTGATCATAATTTTCCGTGGATAAGAGATATGCTGGTGTTCTCAGTCCTGCCATCAATACAGGAACAGGTCGGAAATATGAAGGAGACATACAACCATCGCCTCATGCTGAAACACCTCCCAGATGAGTTTAGTGTTTTTCTCGACCATATCTCCAACCTGGACTACTACACTAAACCGGATTATCAGGTATTGAATTTAGCCTTTCTTGACCATAGACTTTGTAAACCAATCACTAACATGCTCTCTCATTGTGTTGCAGCTACTGATGTCAGTCTTTGACAACAGCATGAAGAGCTATAATGTGGTGGAAAACGACCTGTATGACTGGGAAAGAACAGATTCAGAGGACACACTTAATGTTGGAACCCTGGCAACCACAGCCCAGCAGTTGACCCGCCTCACACCTGCATATTTGGGGTAGATGTCTAGCATCTACAATGACTCAATGATATATTGGGTCTCTATATAAACTGTTTGAGGTCTACATAAATTAATGTTTTTCCTTCCAGCATGGCCAATGCCTCCGTGATTCCGGGCGATCTGCAGCGTGAGAACACAGAGGACGTCCTTCAGGGTGAGCGCCTCAGCGAGGCTGATAATTGCGCACCCATCCCAATGCAGCCTGCACAGGGAGCAGATATCTGGGAGGATATGGAGCACAGCCATGACCGAAACCTCAACCATGTTCAACCACTAATCAGAAAGGTACTATTCAGACAGAACAACTGCTAATCTCCCCTTTTAAATACCTGCAAATGCAAACGTTGCCTTTTGGCAAAATTAGCCGCTCTGACATTTAAGGGGGGAGGTGGGGGGTTATGATGATGCCTAATAAAGTAGTGTTTATAAGCACAGCACCACTTTATAGCTGAATTGAATGTATTTAATAATTGACAAATTTTGCAGCATCCACACTGTTATTGAACTGAATCAACATTGATCTTGAGAGTCAAACTAAAAAAAAACAATTAGGCCTATCTTCTGTAGAGCTGCTTATAGCGGAATTGAACGTGTTTCATAATTTCATAACTTTACAGTTGTTGAACTGAACCAACACTGAATTAAAGGGGTCATGAAACTGCCTTTTTTATTATTTTGTGTTCTCTGAGGTCCACTTATAATGTTATAAAGATTTTTACATAAAAAAAACAATATTTTAGCAGTAATAGGCTATTTTCTGTCCTGTTTTGACCCCCCTCTCATCAGAACTCTCCGTTTGAATAGGCGTGGCAGATTGTAGACTCGGAAGTAAACGCCCACCACTATGATTGGCTAACGGTTTTGCATATTTAAAAATCTGCATGAACGTTTGACATCCGACATCCTTCACAGATGGACTCTGCTGTGATTTAGGTTAAAAACGCATAAATACGCAATCATATCAAACGATCTGTAATAACAGACAAAGCAATAGTGATCACGTAATAAAAACAGTTACTCACGCTTGTGTATTGCGACATTACTGTCGGATCCAATATAGTCGGCACTGAATCATCTTTTAATTTCAGTCTTTCAGAAAATCCGGCGTCGAATTGTTTGGTCTACAAAAATGGCAGACGGTCAACAAAATTGCAGATGGGCTAAATAAAAATGCAAATTCAATCTCTGACAGTAGGTGGCTAATATACAAAAGCAGAAATACAGCAGTTACCCCAGTACAAGTCAAGTCACCTTCATTTATATAGCTTTTACACAATACAGATTGTTTTAGAGATGAAAAAGTTTCACAGACTTGATTGTACAGGGGTAACTGCTGTATTTCTGCTTTTGTATATTAGCCACCTACTGTCAGAGAGTGAATTTGCATTTTTATTTAGCCCATCTACAATTTTGTTGACCATCTGCCGTTTGTCTAGACCAAATATGTATAATATACAACTGTAATGTGAGTTTTATCATTTCATAAAACTGTTTTTGTCAAAACTTGTATTATTTGAACTGAAAAGTTGTTGAAATCATCATTTTTTTATGGTCATTTTACAGTTTAGGATAGACAGTGATGTTTTTTCAAAACAGTATTGATACCTAAACAACACATAGTTCTATTCTAATATAAAAAAATTCTGAAACAATTTCAACTGCTCCAAAAAATTTTGAAGAATTTAAAGAGTAGGCCTGTTGTTACCTATACCCCACCCATCACCTTTTTCACTGGTTCGGAGTTTGCAAGTATGTATTTAAGTCGGAGATGGTCATGAGCTTGTGTTTCTGATTCAGGTGGCTAGTGAGGAGGAGCGAAGCAAAGAGGGCAACCAGAGCCCCAACAGTGGTTCCATCCAGGGCTCTCCCAGACGTGTGCGCTCAGAGACCTTGCTCATCGACCGTGTGGCTCCTCTACTGAGAAGGATGCGCCATAGTCAGAGCATGGGGTTAGACAAAAGACTGACCCCTGAACCCAAACCCACAATTGAACGCTTCCTTGAGGCCTAGTCAGTAAAGAAAATCCTAATAGTCTTCCTTATAAATGTGAATAGGTCTCTAGAGATGTCATAACCACTTCTCCTTCTTTGTCTTATTAGTTTAGGGAAGCAACGTCCAGGTCTGGCCCAAGACAGGTCCATCTGTCGGGTCGAGCAGGGCTCGTTGGAGGACGAGGAGGGTGCGGCCAGCAGCGGTTATGTTGCCGTCAATCTCAGCCCCGTCCCACAAGACTCACAGGAGTGGGTTCTAGTGGAGCTTGAGGGTGGTTGCGGTTCAGAAGGA